TTTGGGGGATAGCCTCTAACTTAGTAAGCAGTACTGTATCATTTTGCCAGGTGCATGACAGTCTCCACTTAGAAATAGGACACTTGAGATTTAGAGAGATGAAAGGTGACATTGCAGTTCGGTAGTGAGTTCTAGCCAGTCTGACTTAGAGCCCTCACTAGTCTCCATAATAGCAATTCTCAGTATGTGGTCCACGGACCCCAGGGAAACCCCAAGATCTTTTCAGAGCTATTTTCATGATAATACATAGTTTTTATTTGCCTTTTGTACTTTGTTGGTATTTGCATGGATGATACAAAAACAATGATGAGTAAAGCTGCTGGTATCTTAGGGTACAGTAGTCACTGTATTCACTGCCATGCATCCATGGTTAAAAAAGGAAAGACGGTTCCTCTTAAGAATATCCTGAGGAAGCAAAATGCTAATTCTGTTAAATCTCTACTCTTGAATAGGTGTCTTTAAATATCTTGTGTGACACAATGGGAAGGTGCAGACAGCACTTGTGCTGCATGTAGCATCTGATGGCTGTCTCAGGAAAGAACTTGTGAGATGAAGTTGTGAGCTGAACAAGCCACTTTTTTCGTGGTATACTATAGATCAATTGTGATTTCAGCTGGGTTATTTGGCACATTTTCACAAAAATGACTGAAGTGAGCTTATCACTTCAAGGAAGACAACTGACAGTATTTGTTGCCAGTTGATAAAAATTAGAACTTTCAAACAAAATTTAGAACTTTGGAAGACATAACTGCCACTGTGAGCTTAACAAATGTGACTCCTTTATACTGTGTCAGCCAACACTTGGAAGGTCTGCATAACTCAGGGAACCAGTGTTTTCCAGATGACTAATGCATGGGTAAAAGATCCTTCCAAAGTGCGAGACAGGCCAGTGGATTTTAAGTAACAGAGTTACCGAAAGTTCACTGATATGGTTTCAGATTCCACATTGGAACACTAAATTGTCGAATTGGGTTGTAATATCAAAAATATACATATCTGCAACTACCTAGACTTGAGATTCTAAGGGACCATTACTAACCTTCCCCTGGCTCACAGGGAAGACTATTTATAGCACTCCTCTTTCCCTAGAATACTCTAGAAGGGAAGGAGGAATTGGGAGGGAGAGAAAAAGAAGTTAATGGGGTGGGGAGTTGAAGCGAGTACTGTTTGATGATCACTGAGTGTGTGCCCAGTACTTGATATAAATGTGATGTATCACCTACAAAAAAATTCCTAAAATGGAACTAATAAGGAAACAGACTCAGGGTTGTCAGCTAGCCACTGCTGCAGTTGTTAGAACCCTGGAGCAAGGATCTGAAACCAGATTTGTCTGTACATGTAGCTGATTCTCTTCCTGTAGTAAGACATAAGAGGCAGCTAAAATATTCTGCTACTCCTACCTAGATCAGGTTCAGGGTTCATTCCCACTGCAGCAATTCATTGCGTGCATGCCATGACTTCCTTATAAGATATGAACTCTGCATCCTCACAGTGCCTGGCATTCAGGTGCCAGGAAGTATGTGGTGAAGGAAAGGGTGTAATTTGCACATTTTACATGCGTCTCAAGGTGTGCGATTAACTTTTAGAATCCACCCATGACTGTCCATCAGTTGCTTTTCTTGCAAGAGAATTAAATAGAACACCCCAATTTTACACGTTTTTTTCCTCTCGTAAACTTAATAGCTTCAGGAATACCTTGGGTGTCCGTTCTGAATGGGAAACAGCATTTTGTGCCTCTGACTTCACCTACAAGAGGGCACCCTGGATGTAGTCAGTATGAAGAGAACCTCAGCATCTTCAGAATGTTTGGTGTAGCTGTAAACACACTGAACAAAGACCAGCACATTTTAGCTTTTTCAGGCCAGGAAGGTGCAATATGCACTCATATTATGGTGTGCTTAATATGCACTCGTATTGTGGTGTGCTTTTCATCTCTTTCTGCCACGTATCATTAAAATGGCGATTCCATATGGTTTTCCTTGAGTCCTAACCACTTTGTTGTACCATAGCCCTTTTAGCAATATCATAGGGTCACATTTGCCATTGAATGCCACTTCACGTTCATCCATTCCTCCCAATGTTGTTCATTATAGGCCACCATAGTCCTCATATTTATGTGACAAAAACTGATTTTTTCCACTGATGTCTGGGGTATACTTGGCAGCTTTCCTCGCACTCAGTTCTTATCTGATGTAGCCCAGAATGACCGCCTGAAGGGATGCCAAAAGCCTGACTTAAGTTCCAGATCCTCCGCTACAATTCTATCAGTCCATTTGTTCATTTAGTTTTAACTTTCCCCTTTGTCATCTGTAGCTCGCAGCTCAGTGGCCTGAACGTGTTCTGCAGATGCTCTAATTTGTAAGTGAGAATTTGGGAACACTGTTCTAGGTTTTTAATACTACTTTCCACTTAGGTAACACTTTTTATAAAATCTCCAGTGTTGCTGAAAGAAAATGAACATGTATTGAATGCCAGCTAGCTGTAGGAACTGTGTGCTTGACTTCCTACATGTTCTCTTTTCACAACACACACACATACATGTGATGTCCTTCCCAGTTTTTACATGGCAATGCTGGGATTGAAACGTGTCAGTGTGACGACAGAAGACTCCCTCCTCAGCCTCCTGCTACTGCATGACCTCATCTAGAGCCTAGGACATTCTTTTTACAGGGTTGTTGAGAGGATAATGAGATTCTATTCATGAAAGTGTTTTAAAGCTATAAAGTACTACAAATACTTCTACAGATTTTTAAGATACATACATATATGTATTATGTATGAAAATTAACACTTCAAATCTTTAAGTATTGCGCTTGTTTTCCGTAAACTAAATAGACAAACTGGTTGGTCCCTAAAAATAGATGTCAGGTGACAGAGGTTGGCTGAGCGGGAATAGGGGCATCTTCAGAACGAAGCCAAGGAAGTTTGTGCTTCCCTAACACATTGCGCCGTCCACTCGCTCCTCAGCCTTCCCACTTCTCTGTAACACTCTGGCCCAGGGCAGCACCTCTACATTAGTCGTGAGTTTCCATTAATCAAAGGCAGCTTGTGCCGGGCCTATAGCAGGGTCACCTCAGGTTCTCTCCTGTTGTAGGCTTTCCGTATGTACTCAGTCCATGCTCCCAGACATAGTAGGGAATCAGTGCCTTGTGATACGGAAGCATCTGGAAAACCTTCACAGCAGTCAGAGAGCAACGGGAAACCCTGGGGCCTATTCCCTGATTGGGGTGTTGGGAATGCTGTCCTCTTGACTAAGCCTCTTAGACAAACAAGGGTTGGCAAGGTGTAGTAAGCTTCATTTGAGGATGGAATTTAGGGGGAGCTTTGGGTTTAGAGGCCTAATTACTTAAAGTGACATTTATAAAACAAATTGTCATTTTATAATTACCTTTTATTTCTAAAACAGAACAAAGATGTTACTTCATAAATATAATTTCTAACCATGTTGATACATCAAAACAATTTCTTTAGTTTGCTCTCTGAATTTGAGCATATTTGTAATGGAGAGTTAATACACTGAGTCCTCACTTTGTCATCCATGGTTTCTGCGACTTTAAGTGAAATGATGTATAACAAAGCAATGTTGAACAAAATGACATTACTTGAGAACCTGCTGTACTGTTCTCGGTGCAGTTATAAAGGGTGACAAAGGGACAGCTAATGGAACAGGCAAATTAAGAAAGTTTTAGAGAGAAGTAACGGTATGCTTATGAACTTTCTTATGTAGGTGATAACACACTTGAATGTGTATAGTTCCAAAATCAACAGATGGCTATCACTCATATTCTGAAAAACACATAACCAGAGAAGAAATAGGCACTCTCCAGAAACTTTTTTTAGAGACTCTTTAGTTACAGAAAGTTAAAAGGTTAGAAATTCTTCTGAGTTACACAGTACAGTAGCTTTGGTTCTGAAGTTAGCATGTAAGATGAAAATTCCTTAGGAAGATACACGTTGGAAAGCTTTGGATGATCCACTATGAAGTGTTTCATAGGTAATTGTTCCGTCAGCATTAAAAGGATGGCTGTTTTGTTGGCTTATAAATGTGTATCTTTATAAGCAAATGGAGCACAATGTTAAGAATGGTGAGCATAGGTAAAGAGTGTACATCCCTCGTATAGTCCTTTCAACTTTTCTGAGTTTTTTCCAAAACAAAAATTAGGAAAAGTATTTATTTTTAAACACTAGACCTGCACTCTGTGGTAAAAGTCTGCAAGATGAAAAACGAGACCCAGTAGGAGAAGCAGATTCCCATTTTCCATTTCTTCTCCAGGGCATATCTAATCTACGCGGAGTGGGGAGGGCAGAACAGTCCTTACAGTTGAGAGCCTAGTGCCTTTTCCAGTTGTACTGCAAGCCAGACAAGAAAGTTATAGAAAGGACGGTTCTGCATCAGTCTTTTCTAAGTCATAAGAAACTGGTTTCAGTTAGGATGACAATGCTGGCAATGAGAGATGGAGGACCAAACTAATATTGTAAGAAGTTTTGACTCAAGTGGAGGACATGAATAGAATTGTAATGAGAAGTGACTGAATTTATAAAGATGCCTGCCCAAAACAGCTGATGTCTTAAGCCATTAAAGGGTAAGAGGAATCTTTTGAGAGTGATACTATGTCTTGATCATGGTGTTAGTTATACAACTATTTAACAAAATTCATCAATTGAATACTTATAAATGGTGTTACTGTATATAAATGACACCGTAATAAAGGGGATTATAAATATAAACAAATCCTAAGCAACTAATAAACACGTAATTTCTAACTGAAGCACAACTTTAGGGGATACTTAAAAAGTAATGACCTCACTCTTAATTTTGTATAAAAGAACAAATAATTATTTGAATCTATTTCAATAGGTAGGATAGTGTCACGTTTGCTAGAACCTGGAGCCAGAGTGACCATGCTCACTGCAGAGTGAGGAGCTAAGATAACTGTATTTTGGTGGGTATCTTTTGAGTCGTGACAGCTAAATCACAACACTGCTTTCTTCTTCTTTAGCCCCGGAATGAGACCCGATGCAAGCTCTCCTCCTGCATCCAGCTCAGCAGCTGCAGGCCCGCCTCCCAAGCTCTGCCTTGTGTGCTCTGACGAAGCCTCAGGATGCCATTACGGGGTCTTGACCTGTGGGAGCTGTAAGGTCTTCTTCAAAAGGGCAGTGGAAGGTAGTGTGTGTTTTGAAGAGTTTTATCTCCCTCTACTTCGTTTATTTCTCAGAGTGGATTTTGAAATTTCTATTATAGGCAAAGTTTATTAAGGCTAGAAGTCAGTAAAGGGGGGGGGGCTGACTCCTAGGTCTTAGGGGGAAAGAGATATTTTAAAAAGCAACATAAAAGTGTAAATTGACAGGAGGAAGCTTGGTCAGAGAACAGAGGAAACTGAGTGGTAGCATGTGAAATGATGGGATTAGATTTGGGCAGGAACAATACGAATTGTGTTAGAATCACGGGCTTTAATTACCATAAATTAGTTGGTTTCAAAGCCACCAGCTATTTCAGTCTGGCAAAAATGAGTGACAGTGAGAACTGTGGGGGGAAAAGGTGTTTTATTTTTGGGCCAGGGCACTATGCTAAGTGGTATAAATACAACATCAGACCTGATCCCTTCCCTCTGGGAAGTCACAGTCTATTTGAAGTGAAAGGTAACAAGGTACAGCGATTACAGTAGAGAGGAGCAAGTGATAAACTGCCCGAGGAGGTCAGAAAAGGTACTTTAGAGACGGTGACTTCACTATCCGAACATTATATTAATACAAACTTCACCCTCGTTATAGACCCAGCTTGCTGACAAAGACAGTAGCATCAACTCTTTAAAGGAGGAGAAATTCCTTCCATAGCAAATTATTATTGGAAGTCACTAAAATTTTCTAATATTACCAGCAAATCCTCGTGGGGAAAATGATGTAATTCGGTCATCTGTAAAGCAGTTTGAGGCAGTGTGGCCTGAGTAGATTACCTAAAGAGTGCTCTGATTATATTAATTTTTAAAGAAGTAATTATTTATTCATTCACAGTATGAGAGGGTTATTATTATTTGGCTAGAGTTGTGTTTGCATCCTTGAGTTAGATGAGTCATTTTCTTTAGTTTGCTAGAATATTTAAAAAATCATCCAAACTATAAAATTGCTCATTACCCCACTTAGTGCACAGGGATGCAGGTTTTGACCGGTATAGTAGTAACTCCCAACTATTGAGCACAGTTGTAAGTAAAGCCCATCCCTGCTTGGTGCAGTGCCTCTAACAAAGGAGATCTTACCTACAGCAAACCCAAGAGAAGGAAGCTTCTTACTGTTTATTTAGTCATCACTTTATATATCTTTATTGATTTCAGAGAGAGAAAGGGAGAGGGAGAGAGAGTTGAAACATCAATGATGAGGGAGTCGTTGATCGGCTGCCTTCTGCACGCCCCCGACTGGGGATCGAGCCCACAACCTGGGCATGTGCCCTGACTAGGACTACAACTGTGATCTCCTGGATCCCAGGTCGATGTTCAACTGCTGAGCATCGACCGGCTGGGCTAGTCATCACTTTCTTAACTGGCTAGTTATTTCCATGGTATAAGTGCAGTGATGATAGTAAACACAGTATTGCTGTACATAATGTTGACAAATTGATTTCAGAAAGTGAAATTCAGAATGAGACACTGTAGCCTTAAAAGAAATACAGTATTTAAAAAAACATTTTTCATTCTCTTCCATTTTAACTAAAATTATTCTTTAAAACAGGGCTGCACATTCAAATGCCTACAGGGACCAAATATGTCATTCTTGCCAAATATAATCCAGCTGGGGGAAGAAGGGCAGTTATTGCTGTTAGAGAGTGTGAGTGTGCCCTACCTAAGAGCATCCAAATGCAATGTAAGAAGGAAAGAAAGAGCTAAATATACTTCTCAAAACACTGCTGCAAACTATATGCCCTTGGGTCTTAATCCCTGCTTTAGAATTAAATTATTATACTTGTTTTTAGGTAAAATCTAATTGAATATTAGCTCTACTGTTTCAAAATGTTTATCATTTAAATATTTCAGTTAAGTGTGGTGGCTAGATTACATGTTTAGTAAGGAAAGGTTTAAATGTGGACTGTATCAAGTAAATCCTTTCCTTGGATTTCAGTGTTCTCCAAGCTCCCTTTCCCCTCTAAAATTCTGTCATCCTTTGATAACCTACCTAGACTTGATGAAAATGTTTTAAAGCCCAGATACATATTTTGGAGCACTTTTTAGAAATTTCAGAGTTGCACCTTGTATAATTTGCATTACACTTAGCACTCCATTTATGACGGCTGCTACAAATGATGTTTTCCCCCAAATTGGCATGTTTTAATAAATACCCAAGCATTTAACTGTTTTTAGGAAATCTGCAGAATTTGCTGAAGGTTTACTTATTGTCCATATAGCCCAGATTGAGGATAGATACTATGAACTTTTTTTATTCGATATTCTGGACTCGCTTTTCTGCACACAGAGAAGGATTTTGGGTAGCTCCATTTCTTTCCACGTACACTAGTTCAGTGATCTCTTTCCCCGCTGGGGTCCCATTTTTTTATGTTCCCTCTGCACAAAAGTACACCTAATCTTTGTTAGTGGGTCATTATGGAGACAGGCATCAGCTACCCTTAATTTACCATGTGCCAAGTACTGTGTTTTACATATGACATAGCATTTAATTAACAGCTGTGAACTCTTAGATGCTACTGTGATTCCTATTTGATGGCCTAGGAAACAGGCTCAGAGAGCTTAGCTTGCAAAACTAGGATTGAAACACAGCTGTCTCCAAACAGGCTCTTAACCTGTGTCACACTGACTCCCTGAGAGGTATATGATAAAAATCTGTCACCTAGCATTTTATAATCTAGGTGGGTTCTGAGATGGAAGTTATTGCAAGGGCATTGTTTAGTGGCTGTCATTTATTGAGGGCTTACAATGTACTAGGCACTACTGGAAGAACCTTCTACACAATTGCCTTTAACCTTGGAGAAGCCCAGCCAGATAGGTGCTAATTTTCCAGATTTACAGATGGGGAAGCAGAGGCTCAAGAGAAGCTAATAAACATCACTGAGATCACACAGCTAGGAAATAGAGCTGCGTTTCAGATCACAGGCTTCCTGGCACCGTACCAGTGCACTTTCCGCTATCCCACACCGTTTTTGAGAGCAGATAAAGAAAGCAGCTCAAGCTGACAGTCACAGTTCACATTTAAGACTTGGTTACTACAAAATGCAGAAAACCCTAGAACATGCCCTTTGCTGTGGTACCCATTTCCTGTACCATTTTCATGGTCTTGTTCACGTCTATGCATCACTGACCCATTTATTAACATTTTTCTTAGATCACTCTTTAAAACTTATTTTAAATGTTTTTTTTATATGTCTTTATTGATTTCAGAGAGAGAGGAACATCAGTAATGAGAGTGTCATTGATCAGCTTTCTCCTGCACGCCCCCTACTGGGGATCAAGCCCTCAACCCAGGCATGTGCCCCGACTGACTGGGAATCGAACCTTGATCTCCAGGATCACAGGTTGATGCTCAACTGCTGAGCCACGCCAGCTGGGCTAAAACTTAAAACACACACACACATCTTTACTATCCCTCCTGTGTTATCTATTGCTGTATAACAAATTACCCCCCAAAGGAGTAGATTAAAACGGGGCATTTATTATGTCACACAGTTTCTGAGAGTCAGGAGTTCGGAAGCAGCTTCTTAGCTGGGTAGTCCTGGGACACTCATGAGATCACATTCAGACTGTCGGTGGCGCTGCAGTCATCCCAAGGCTCCACTTCCACCCCGTTAACATTGCTTTTGGCAGGACGCTTCAGTTCCCCACTCTTTGGGCCTCCTCTAGGGCTGCTGTCAGCGTAATGGCTCGCTTCCCCCAAAACAAATGATCCACGAGAGAGAGTGACCAACATGGAAACAGTGTCTTTACAACTTTATCTCCGATGTGACACTGTCATTTTTGCCATATTTTATTGGTCACACAGACCAGTCCTGGTAGAGTATGGTAAGGGACTACACAGAGACCATAGGGGCCTTCCTAGAGGCTGGTTACCACACCTACCAGAAATAGAAACTAGAATCACGTGCCAAAAATAGATTTTGACCACAAAAATAAATACAGTGCAAACCAAACCATGTTAAATTCCAGCTGGCTTGAAGGCTTTTCTCCTGACGTCTGCTCTCTGTTAGGGAATTTACCAACTAGTACAAGGCAGAGACTCCAGGCTAAGACGTCCCTCTGTCTTATCAAAGGGACTGACAAGGAGTGACTTCAGTGGTTCATGTCTAGGCCTTGTAAAATAGTGACGACTCCTCATTTTATGAGACACATACTAATAACCAGATAGGACTAATTTTAACTTAGAGGTATCTTTAACTCAGGTTCTTAGATGTGCTTAAGACAAACCTGGGATAAAAAAGCAAGCATTACCATAATATGTGCATTCTGATATTTTGGTTGGATATAAGTAAAGCATTAGAATTTTTTCTGTTTTTAGCAATGAGCAGTTTTTTCAGCTGTTTTTTCCAGTAACTGCAGGACAGTGACTTGGTGATATTCTTATGGAGCCGAAATCCTTTATATTTTAACTGCTTCCACTACATCTATTGTACCTACTCTTGCTTTAATAGAATCACTGGGTTGATGCTTGCGCTTTATGTTCAAGTAAAGCAGCTAGGAAGAGTCCACAGTGCAGAAAGGAATTGAAACAGCTGTACAGACACTTGGCGTCAGAGAGCAGTTCTGAATGGGACAGGGCCTTCAGTCAGCCCTGCGGCCTGTTCCTCCCGGTACAGTTAACCATCCACCCAAAACTAATGCTTCAAGAGCACTGTGACTTATCCTGGTAGGAAGAAGTAAATATAGTTTATTTTCAGCCCAGGCAAGTCTTTGGTTGTCCTGTGCATAAAAGATCTTTTCCTAAAAATCAGAACTAGCTATAGTCAGCCTAGTGAATTGAATTTTCTCTTTTCTTAGCATATAATTTATTTTTGAGAAGAGGCATGGCTTGCAGTCTTGTGAAGACCATCCCCTCTAGTGTAAGGTACCTGGACTCTTAGTTGTATATTTATTTAGACATTCTGGTCTTGCCCGGCCGGGTGTGGCTCACCAATTGAGCATCGACCTAGGATCCAGGAGATCGGGGTTCGATTCCTGGTCAGGGCACATGCCCGGGTTGCTGGCTGCAGCTGATCAATGACTATCTCATCATTGATGTTTCTCTCTCTCTCTGTCCCTGAAATCAATGAAGATATATTTAAAAAATAAAAATAAAAAATAGATATTCTGGTCTTGTGCAGGAGGATCCTTTGTTGTTGTCAGGCCAGCAGATCTTCAGATAGTTTTCTTCAACATTCAATAACACATTAAAAGAAAATTTCAAGATTGTGCATATGGGGGAGGTAGGGATACTTTCAGTCTTTTCCTTTCAAATTTTCTGTGAAAACTTTTGCCAGGGGAAAACTGTACTTCCACCTCTAACATGTTATTTAATAACCGTGACCACAAGATTTTAGACAGTAGTGGTCTTCAATGTTTGGCGTCAATGATGAACTCACATTCTTATATTCTAAAAGCATGTGAAATAATTTACAAATCTCTATAAGATCTATGTACGGTAGTTTAGTTGATGGCAACCTTAACTTTCAAGATTAAGTGTTTACCTGTAGCTTTCTTTAAAATTGGGAGGGGAGCACATTTTACTTGCATGTGGTAGCAAAGTTGAATGAAAGTTGTTTTCCCTTTGGGACTCTCGCAGTATTTTAAAAGCAGTTTCCTTTAGTCTTCAGCATTAGGTCAGAAGTCGTGATAAAGCAGTGATTACAGACCTGTCCTATAACTGTTAAAAGCACAATTTGTCTAGAAAGGTTGCCGTTGGTGGGCGTTTGTGGGGTACTGTTCTGCTTTTTCTTAATCCTCACCTGAGGATATTTTCCCACTGCTTTTAGATAGAGTGGAAGGGGTGGGGTGGGGGGAGAGACACATCGATTGGTTGCCCTCCACACACACCTGAATGAACCTGGAACCCAGGTATGTGCCCTTGACCAGGAAGCAAACCCGAGACCCTTCCGTGCGCAGGCTGATGCTCTAACCACTGAGCCACATCAGCCAGGGCCTGTTCTGCTTCTTGATCTGAGCACTGATGCCATGGAGGTGTTCTGTTTATGAAAGTGCATCAGGAGGTACATTTATGACATGCACTTTTCAATATGTTTGCTGCCGTAAAGTCTTCTAATGAACTTTGTTTGATTTGCTTAACAGAATAAGACTTTTTTTAGTGACCTTTCCACTTTGCAATGGCAGTGTAAGCAGGTCCACTGTACCTTCCTCAATCAATGCCTTTGCTCCTTGGCTGGGTTCCACCTAAAACAGAGTCACTCCAGAAAAAATACACTTTAAGACCTGTGAAATTTTAACAGTGCCTTTATTTTCCATATAGGACAGCACAATTATCTTTGTGCTGGAAGAAATGATTGTATCATTGATAAAATTCGAAGAAAAAACTGCCCAGCGTGCCGCTACCGGAAATGTCTTCAAGCTGGAATGAACCTGGAAGGTAATGTAAGACCTGAAAGGAATTGTCCCTGTATCATATATTTTTAAAAGTAAAGTAAGTTTTTATAAGTAAGCTGATGTAATAATTTATTATAGTATGTATGTGCTTGACTAGCACAATTTTATATTATTCAACAAAAGTAGGAATTTTTAAATGAATATTTTTTATATTGCTTAAGTTTATTCACCAGTTCTCATTTCTGAATTCAGGATAGCCAGACTATACTGAAAAAGGAAATTATATAATAATGATAATTACAAAACTTGAAGCAACATTACATTTGTAGATCTGCAGGGGGAAATGCTCCTCAAGGTGGCCTTGGATAGGTTTTGTTTATGTTTTTCAAGTAAAGAAGAAACCTGAAACTAGTTATAAGTTTGATTTTCATGCTCCTGTTTTTGTTAAGTTTATAACAACATTGATTTCATCATTTAAAAACTTGTCTCCAAAAAGCTAGGACTTCTGCTTTGTGAAATTGCAGGTCCGTGAAGGTGGTGATGGTGATCCGATAACCCACGTGCATGTGCTGTGATAGGAGCATTCACACAACAGTGCTCACCAAGGAGGCAGGCACCAGGCAGTGCATTCAGGGAGTGCACTGTCTGGTTAGGTTGCACAGTCAAGTCACGCAATGGGATGGCACACTGCCAAGAGAATAGAGCCACAGGGAAGAGGAGGGCCACCTAATTCTGTCCTGGAAGAAGCAACGTTGAATTTTAAATCTAAAAAAGCTGAATAGGAATTAAGTGAAAATAAGGGCAGAGGACATAATCAGCTTTGTATTTTAGAAAGACCAATCTTGTATAGAGACCAATTAAACAAGACATGGTGATCTTAGAGGGAGAGCGGAAACCATGTGGTTCTTTTGATAGGAGACTCACTGTTGGAGCTATCTAGCACATACTGTGTGTGTGTTTAAATACAAAGTAGATTTATAGGTGTGACTGCATAGTTTGTTTGTCATTTAATATTAAATATTAGCACATATTGTGCAGTTGATAACTTGTAGAGAAACGGAAAAGCTTTTAAATATCTAAGTTGATAGGTTTGTTTTTTTGCATGTGTGTGGTTTTACTGTAAAAGCTTCATTTTTGTGTATAATTATTCCAGTGTTTATAAAACCTTTATTTAGAGTAAGCGCCAAAAACGTCTAGCAGACCGTAATACTTAAGAATATAGATGAGCCACGTATTTCATACCGATTTTTTTTACAAGTCTTTAGAAATAGTCTTTTGTTCATTGCAGTGTTCCCCTAAGCCAGGCAGTTTCATGGTCATCCCAGGGTAGCTTTGCAGAAGCCACCCGCTCTCTCAGTGCCCATTCCTCTCCATAAGTGTAACTCAGTACTGCAAGGGGTATACTTGGACATGTTGCCCCATACCCAATAATCCTCAAGATACATTTTAAGGCAGCCTTCTTCACTGCCTGAAGTGCATAGCATTTGAATACAGATACAGTTTTTAATGGTGATCCCACGTTTTATACTTACTTCATTTTAAGGTATATTGTAATCATTCCAAAATAGAGCGTTATTTTTGGTATAGATCAAGTGGAACTTAAAGGCAAGGAGGCTTATGACATTAGATTTCATACCTAATATTTTAAGGCTAATTTTAAACTAAATAGATGTCTTTTATTAATAAAGAAGTAGAGCTATCACAGACTCATGAATACTTCTGTAGAGATCGTATATCCAATGCTAATCTACCATATGCTCCAAGGAGTCAGAAACTTTATATAGAGTAAAAATCTTATTAACTAAATTGCTTTAAAACAGTGATTGCTTTTGTATTCAATTAAGAACTCCTTGCTGAAGTTCTGTGGGAACATTCTAGTGCATTTTCTTGCTTTCGTCAGCGCAGTACCATTGGATGTGCTTTCTGAGCCTCATTCAGAAGCATCCGTCCTCTCATTTAGGACTATAGATAAATAGTAAGAAATTAAACAAATTCTGTGCTGAGTCACAGATTTTTAGAGATCTCCTAGCTTGTCATTATCCTTTCCTCTTTGTTCTAATGGAGTGTAGGAACACAGTCCAGGCAATTTAAAGTTAAGGCTAATTGAGGCTTTTACAGTCCGATTTCAGTGTATTGATTTGGGCCATGCATGTTCTTTTACTTTGTCGGCCAAGTGCGTGCCATGGTTTTGAGATCTGGATTTCATTGAGATACTTTTGATTGTTTAAAGCAGGGATAGGGAACATCCGGCCCGTGGGCTAGATACAGCCTGCAAAATCATCTGGTCTGGCCCTGCCAAGGCAACCTTACGGGTGGGACTCGAAATTCAATAAATCTAGGAGCTTTTTTCATAGCTAATTTTTAAGTTGATAATTTTGTATGGCCCTTGAATGATATACATCCAAATGGCCCTTGGCAAAAAAAAGGTTCCCCACCCCTGGTTTAAAGGGTTTCTTCCTGTATAGGGACACATCCTATTTTAAACTTTATCACTCCTCTGTAGACTTGCACTATCTGAATTCAAAATATTCTACAACCATATTCTACCAGGTGAGGTACTGACAGTTCTTATAATAGCACTTAATGTGTGCCGGGAACTGTTCTAAGCATTTTACATATTTTACCAGATTTAATTCTCGACCACCCTATGAGGTAGGTACTAATATTATCCTCATTTTACAGAAGAGAAACTAAAACCCAGAAAACAATTTGCTACAATACCTGAAATTCAACCATGTTGGTTTCAGATTTATGCTCTTTATGGCTACACCCCACTGTCTCCAGCATAGCATGCTAAAATAAATTAGATTTATCTTGGTCCCGTTTTTCTCTTTTGAAATGTTGACTAAAAATTCAATTTCTTAGTACCACATTCAGCACAGAGCAAGTAAGAAATGAGGCCATTCTCAACGTACAATACCGGATTTTTTTTCCCCTTTCTAACACCAGACACTGGGATATAGATCCTGCCACCATATCTATCCTCTAGAAACTATCATTTTAGGGACCAGGATCTAATAATTATTTTAAATGGTAATATCAATTTTCCCTTAGCAAAATGATTTGCATTTCTAATAACAAACAGGAACATTTCTTCACTCATATAAATTCCATTCCTTGCCCTTCCCTGGAACTCTGAGTGCTTCCTCTTAAAGATACTATAATTCTTATTTGTCACTAAAACAACCAAGAGTAAGACTACGTTTACTCAAAAATCTACAGAGTCTGTGTTGTATTACACTGGTCTGAACTAAGAGATAAAAGATAGCTTTAGTTACTTTATATATAATGTGAAAAGGATGCTTTAGGTTTATAGTCATCAACATAAATCTCTCAAATTACCCACTGATAATTTATGTGAAGAAATACAAAGTTTTTCTCTTTATCCCCCCAAATGTTTTTAGTCCCAAGTAGTATCCATTATTACTGGTTAAAAAAGTGGATTTCTGCTCTTAGAACTAATACTGTCTCCAGTGTGTGATCTGCTCTGTCATCTTCCTCTCTCAATAAGGGGGCCATGCGAAGCTGTAAACTGTGTGGCTCTCTTCACTATCTGTATCACCGTCATTTATGGTGACCCTAAGCCAGAGTTTCTAGGTTGGTAGTACAAGCTTAGATTCTTTCTTTCAATTGATAGTAAAAGTAATTTGCCTTATAAAACCAATGAAAATTTTGACTTTGAACTAAAATGTGAGACAAATTAATTTATGGATGAATTCAGGAAAGTGATTTGTTTAGAATGCTTTAACATAGTATTGTAAGACTTAATTTTGTATAAAATATAACTAATAACTGTCTTTGTAGCAGAAATTAATATACAAATGGGTTTCTCTTGGTCTTTTTCTTTCAGAAAAAATGTTTCTCTTATTCCATGTCACTTTATCATAATTGCTAAATAAAACATTTCTACTTTCAGTCTAAATATTTTGAGAAATTAAAATGCCTCTTGGATAAACTTTGTCACCTCCACCTTCCCATCACAACTCATTTCTGTGTATTTCTCTAATACCCACAGCACGAAAAACAAAGAAAAAGATAAAAGGAATTCAGCAGGCCACTACAGGAGTCTCACAAGAAACTCCTGAAAATCCTAACAAAGCAATAGTTCCTGCAACATTACCGCAACTCACCCCTACCCTGGTGTCACTGTTGGAGGTCATTGAACCCGAGGTGGTGTATGCAGGATATGATAGCTCTATTCCAGATACGACTTGGCGGATCATGACTACACTCAACATGCTAGGTGGACGGCAAGTGATCGCAGCAGTGAAATGGGCAAAGGCGATACCAGGTAAGACGCAAAAGATGACAAAGCTAAGATACACATTTTTATATTTGCCTTTTTTTAAAAATTATAGTTGATAGTTACACTTGATATATACAATATTGTATGAGTCTCAGGTGTACAACATAGTGATTCTACATTTTCATACCCTATGATGTAATCACTATGACATGTCTAGTAACATCTGTCACCGTACAGAGTTATTAAGATACTGTTGAGTCTTCCCTGTGACTTTTGTTTTGTAACTGGAAGTTTGTACCTCTCACTCCCCTTCACCTTTTTCATCCATCCCTCCTCCCCTCCTGGCAACCACCAATTTGTTCCCTGGATCTATGTTTCTTAAAAACACTCTGGATCTTTATCGTCCTGATCCCATGGTGTGTCTTGTTTCTCACACTCAGCTATGGGAGAATGCAGAGTCTATGATAAAAGTCTTACACTGCTCCCTGCTTTTCAGAGCACAGTAATTTCAGATAGGATGATGGACATCACTCACTCAGAATTTCTTTTAAACTGAAGTAGGAGAAGAAAATGTAAAATATTTCTTAAATTTCAGTTTGTTTTGCATGTTTCACTTTACCAATTTTACAAATAACAAAAAATTTTAAAAATCAGACATGGTGACATTTTGTCAAAATGTACTAAAGTAGAGTCTTTTAACTGTTCCCTGACTTGACAGAGGGGAATTGACAAGCTGTGTTCTTACAACTAGGGACAGAACAAGACTGAAGTGGCCGACCTCCTGTCTTCACTACTCTGTCTCATTGAATGAATAATGTCCCAAGCCAGAATTCATGGCTGGCTTTTTTACTGTTTATATTTCCTTGAATAGGCAAAAGGTGACAAAAACTGGCTACTCTTACGTTTTTGAACACTGAATGCTGTTAAAAAGCACTGAGGGCTTTGGTCTTCACGTGTCACGTGACGGAGGAACACTGAGCCCACTTGATGTTTCGTTCCCTCTACCTGTTAGAAGTCCCCCGGAACAAGGCTAGTTCCAAAGAGATGACTTCTTTTTTGCAACTACAGTTTTTCCTCACACCTTCATTTCTCTTAATTCAGGATTCAGGAACTTACACCTGGATGACCAAATGACCCTACTGCAGTATTCATGGATGTTCCTCATGGCGTTTGCCCTGGGATGGAGATCGTACAGACAATCCAACGCAAACATGCTGTGTTTTGCTCCTGATCTGATCATTAATGAGTAAGTCATTTTCCCTGTATTCACAGGGTATTTTAAGCCACTGATATTTTCCTGATGGACTGTTGCTGTGATCATTCAGGACTGAATCAGTGCTGCCAGGTATCTGGGAACTGGGAATACTTGAAATAGAATTATCAGTGCTGAAGGCAAGCCAAGTAGGATGTGGGGCAAATATACATGTGACATTGTTACTGTCCCAGGACACACTTAAAGATATTATTTAAACAGTGAACATCTCTGGGTTAGAAAAAATCTATAGTAAATAAAAAAGAATCTTGTGGTGCATTGTTTTAATTACATAACTCTATCCCAGGAAGAAAAAGCATGATAACAATTCATGTTGATCTCGCTTTTGGTAGACCCAGGTGAGGACATCCAGGCTGAGGGGTGGGAAGTACTGCTCCAGAGAAGAGCTGTCTCTTTGCATGGCAAGGACTACTCAGTGGTTATTACCTGGAAAGAATATGGGAACAAGAATATGTTTTTCACTTGGGGGAGAACCAGCCAAGCTTTAAGATTTTACATCAGCTATGCTCTGGTCTTCTAGGGCCTTGCTTCTAAATTTGAAGTATCTTAGACGTCCATTCCCCCAGCTCATTGCAGTTGTTTCCTAACTAGTTTTCTGCCTCCATTCTATCATGTTGACTAATTTTTTTCTTTCTTAAGCACAGTGTGTTCACGTCTGGTACACCAACACATAGACCTTGTCGGTGTCTCCTCACCAACCACCCAGTACATTCAGCCTGGTTTCTGTCTTTCCAGACCTGGCCTCACTTCCTCTCTCCTTTTCCTTGACACACTCATCGCTCCTACTCAGATGATCCATTTTTCAAATGCACCCTCAGGTCAAGGTGTTCATATCACTGTATAAGACCTCTCTGCTATACAGCCTAAGCTCTTACTCCTCAGCACTTTCTCCCTTGTAATACTACTTTTTTGCCCACAGCTTACCTCCTTTATTAGAATATAAACAGGAAGTTCGCGCACACACACACACACACCCCCCCCCGTGGTCTGAGCAGAGTAAAGAATGAAGGGGATTTATGTGAAAAAAAGTTAATGAATTCTTAAACTACATTATTGGAATAATAGTTCCAATGCTCTGTGAGTCAAGCGTCATCCGCCGTATTTAAAGTAACACTGACAACTTTAAATCATTCCAGAGTGGCAGAGTTTGGAATTAACGTCAGTTTGTGAGCAGAGAGATTTGGAGGAAAGAGAAAAGGAGACTAGAAAGCAGTGAGGACAGCCCAAGGAGGTACTCTGAAGATAAAGCAGACATACTGTTTTCTCTCTTGGGTGTACCTGCACAGAAATAATGGGTAGGAGATGCAGAAAAGCATCTTTGAGCCGAGTGTTGAATGGAGGGCCTGCGTTATGATGTAGTAAGCTTGTGTTACTGTACATGTTTCAGTAGAGACTGGATGATACTAGCTCCAGACATTTTAAAGGAAATTGTTAGGCATCGTATAAGAAGCTGCAAGTAGTGGGGAAATTCTAGATTCAGGACACTTTTTATACTGCTCTGAGGTAATGCCAAGACCGTGTATCTGGCACGATGATAGGAACTACGTAAAGCAGAGTCCAGGTTTTCCCTGTTAGGCCAGGTGCGTACAAAGCTAGCCTAAAGAAATCCGGCTGAACTGTTGAGTAAAACTTGGTGTTGCTTCTCTATTGGTGACACTTTCCAGCAGTGTTCACTCAGTGTTGGATGAGTACTGACCCGGTGCCTGACACCGTATTAGGAGCTTGAGCTTTAACAGTGAATACAATAGATGATGCCCCGCTAACACTCTGATGGGGGAAGCACATGACCAAAATTATTTTGGAGCCACGATATAGTCGTGTGATGGAGGGGAGGAGAGACAGGCATGTGCTACATGAGATTTTTGGGAGCATGGAAGACCTCTCTAATTAGTTGAGGGAACTGTTTGAAAGGGAGGGCATTCCAGGCAGAAGGAATGAGTACAAGGGCTGGAAACAACCTTGGCACGTGTGAGAAAACCACTGAGCATATTGTGTGAGTTTAGGGAAGCGGGCAGGGACAAAGTCAAGCAGAATGTTGCAGGCCATGAAATAGAGTTCAGATTTTATTCTAGGAGCAAGAAGCCTGTGGAAGGTTTCAAAAAGAGTGTACCATGATGGAGAGAATAGATGAAAGGGGAACAACAAATACTCATCACACCCCTAGCATGTGTTGCCTGGTGCTATAGCAGAAATCAAGACAAGGCTCCTCACTTTCATTGCATACACTCTAGCTGGGGAGACACAGACAACCACCCAATAAAATTTCAGACTGTGGTGGAGTTTCTACTAGAGAGAGGTCTGTTTCAAACAGAGTGGCTAATGGCTCTTTGGAGGAGGTGTCGCTGAACCAAGAGCTGAAGGAAAAGGGACCAGCCTCACCGTGAGCAGAGGCGTGTGAAACGTGCCGCAGTCTGTTCCAGGAAGGGCCATCTGCCCTCCCGACAGGCACTGCCATGTGCTTGGCCAGACCCAGGCACCTATGTCAGAGAAGGAAGTCACCTTGATTGACTGTTACCAAAAAGAGGACTGTTCAAACCACTGTATCACAGTTTAACAAGATTTAAGTTGTTTACATTGTTCAAATTTTGAATTACTGATAAAGATACGTAGCTTATATGTAAACTCAGACATTTAAAATCTCTTCATCTCGTTTATTTTAGAACCCAACCATGCTTATATAGTCCCTTTCTAAAAAGCAATTTTATAAAAAGCAGTTTTAAGTCATTTAATTGGGATTAAAACTGAATGGAGATTTATATGCAACACCAGTTTACCCTTTTCTGTTATAAAATTAATCTAATTCAAGGTTTTTATTTTATTTTGGCAACACTCAAATTTAGATTTAAACAATCACAGCAGAACCTGATCGTGCCACATACATTCCTCACATAAAAGAAGGAATTACAGGAATACTTTCTCAGTGTTAGCTCTGTTGGAGATAAATGGCTTATATGAGCAGTGGTTTTGAACAGGCCATTCTGGCCTCGCATTCTGTGTGTGTAGGAGGTAGGAAGCCCCCTCCTTTCTTTTGGCTCACTGTGTTTCCACCCTACTCTGGTGTCTGTGATGGGCAGACTTGTGGGCCAGAAAGTATCCATTCAAGTTCTGACCATCTGTGTAGCTTGTAAAACAGTTTCTCATCATTGTCCTTAGGTCAGAAAGTTGTACAAAATATATTTTTTTCAACAGCCAACTAGAATGATTTTTTTACTCTACTACCCTGTAACTTTGTCAAAATTACAATGTATTAGAAACTGAAAGAGAAAAAGATACCTCCCAGAAAAGGAGTGCTTAACTCCTAGTAGGATTTTGGGAAGGGGCCTCTTTAGTAAAAGCAGATTTTAAATTTGAAGGGTCATAGAGCTCCTCTGTCATCACTTTGGCAGTATACCATTCATGTCTGATTTATTTTATCACATAAAGAAATAAATTACATCTTCAATAGAGAAAAATAATACCTTTCTTGTACTTAACAGAAAAAAATCACTTTCTGTGAAAACTTTAAAGAAGAAAAAACAACACACAGATCTTGAAGTATTTTTAAAACTGTGAACTGGGCACAGATTCAGGCTCTTAGTGTCACTTAAGAAGTTAGGAAACTGCCCTGGCCAGTGTGGTATAGTGGTTAGAGCGCAGCCCAAAGGGTCAAGGGTTTGATTCCCAGTCAGGGGCATGTACCTGGGTTGTAGGTTTGACCTCCGGCCCCGGTGGGGCTTGTGCAGGAGGCAACTAATTGAAGTGTCTCTCTCACATCAATGCCCCCCCCCCCTTCCACTCTCTAAAATAAAGCAATGGAGAAAATGTCCTTGGGTGAGGTTAAAAAATTTTTTTAAGTTAGGAAACTTCAGGGATCTATTTGAAAATTGTGGATGTGACGATTGTTGAGAATCCTAATTGAGGGTTCATTTGGTACCTTTAGTTAGGAGAATATTCAGTCACATAATGTCTGTCAGCAGCAGATATGAGGCACCAGGACACCTAGCGTTGTTCTGACCCTCTGCATAACTATAAACATTGTCACTCATAGTTGTCTTTAGAATGAAATGCTGTGGGGGGGGAAAGTACCTTTTGATTTTTAAATGGGTAGGATCTAAAACTGTTGCCTAGTTGGCCATATTTGAATGCTGCCATAAAACCTTGATTTAAATAAGCAAGTGGTAATAAATCTGGTAGGACTAATAAATTCTAAACACTTAATAAAACAATACATGACCTACATGATAGAAAAATAATTTCTTCAATGTAAAATTAGGTTGTTCAGTAGTCTCTTTATGTGCTACAGACCCAGGAACAAGTTTAAGAAAAATTTTCTAAACTTCTGATCTACTGGGAGTTAGCATTAATAGTAATAGTTAGGTTTTCCTTTACGGAGCAAGCACCATTTATTTCTAATTCAAACGCTGATATTTGTCTTTCACAGGCAGAGGATGGCTCTACCCTGCATGTATGACCAATGTAAACACATGCTGTTTGTTTCCTCTGAGTTGCAAAGGCTTCAGGTCTCTTATGAGGAGTATCTCTGTATGAAAACCTTACTGCTGCTCTCATCAGGTTTGTAGAACATTTATTCACTTCTAAATGTGTCAGGGCATGAAGTACAGAAGTCTAGAAACAAAAGTATTATTTGTATACATAGCACTACTACTTATATCAGTCTACTATGTCCTGCTAGCCAGATAGGTTTTTATAAATGTAAAATTTTAGAAAGGCACAGCCAGTGATACGAAGATTAGTAAGACAGACCAATGGGTGTCATGGAGAAATAGAAAGGTATAGGAGTTGCACGGGGTTTCAGTTGCTCTGGAATGTGTAGACTTCTTCCTGAGACCTTTGATAACACCTCTATAGCAGGCATGGACAAAGAAAACCAACTGGAATGATTTTTGTTTCTCTACTACATTGCTACTTTGTCAAAAATTTTACTTACACAATGAGTACTACCATGTGTAAGACATTATGGGAAAAAGAATCTACAAAAGTTGTGCTTGATTACTATTAGAGGGTTGGTTAATGCAGCATCTGAACTGGATTGTTGGGCAGAGAGATAGTCTATCTAGAAAATGGCAACAAGCGTTTATCTAAACTTTCAAGATTGTTTTAGAAAGTTCCTGGTACATAAACTTTAGTGAGACTACTTTCAGCTAGCAAAGGCATACTTTGTTTTTTTCAAAAGCTGTCTAGTTTTAACTAAGTATCTTGTCTATATTAATAAATTATGACATTTTTGGCATTTTCAACAACAAGAGTGTGAACCAGTTGGTATTCTAACCAATGTTAGGCCATTCCAGTAAAAAGTATGTATCAGGTTAGTGTTTATAAAATACTGAGTTGACAGCTGAATTCCTTTTTCATTAAAGAAGTCATTATTCTATTAGTAACTGTGGTTTCAAAGTTGTCAAATAACTTTAAGCTGTGGATGTTGCACGTGACTGTTTAAGCTTTTATAATTCTTTGTTCTACAAAAAGTTATTTTATGTTCATGGATTTAAAGAGTATTAATAATATTCAATCAAGGCTAGAAAAATTTCCACAACCCATTAAAAAACCTAAAGGTAAAGATCATCACCAGAGACTCTTTTCACATTAAGGATGGCAGTACACTTGTTAAAGAAGTGAGCTTGATGTTATTTGAGCAAAATCTGATCATGATTTTGATTGATAATATCTAGGTATAAGTCAGCAGCAAGATACTTTACCAATCTTATTTGTAAAAAAATCACAGTTAAAGTTTTATACATATCTGACACTCTGAGCTGTGTGCATTTTTTTTTAATTGTACATAAGAAAAAATGAACTAGTACATATCACTGGTTCTTTTTTAAAAAAGAATGAAATCACAAGGATGAAAACACATCCCTCAAATATAGTTAGGCATCTGTGCTGACAGGAGGCTGGAATAGTGCTCTAACCTCCCCTAAGAATGCTGGACTGAAAACTACCTGCAGACAGGAATCCCAAGAAGTAAGATGCACTCTGAAGCTAGCCTTCTCTTAGAGGGTATTTGCAAAACCTGGTAAGGTAGTATATTTAGTAAGCTTAAAGACTGGGTTGGAAATATAATTGAAATAGAAAAAACAATGGATGGGTCTAAAAGCAGATGAGACACATTTAAACTGAAATAAGTTCAGTTTAAATAATATATCTAAAGAAATTAGCCAGAATACAATTTTTAAAATGCACGTATGTGTATAAGTGAACAGAGGATAAATGATTGAGGGAGGAGATCTAAAACAGTGCTTCACAACTCAAAATTTTCATGTCATAATGAACATAAAAAACAGCATTCGACAGCATAGTACACTGAGATAAGTGAATGAGGCCACTTGCAACCAGCATAGCAAATCATTACCATTACCCATTCACAGCACACCAGCTGAAAAAAGCCCTGGTTTAACATAATCATCAGAAATCCAGAATGAAAGGTGAAAGAGAATAGGAAAAGGCATTATACACAGAGACAATGGTTGAAAAGATTCCAGAATTTTAAAAAGACACCAAACCCTATATCCAGGCAGTGCAATGAATTCCACATAGTATATTAATAAAACCCAGCTGTCTGAACAGCAAAGTTAAGAAAATCACTGAACAGGAGAGAGAGGAAAAAAAATCTTCAAAGGAGAAGCAATTTAACTGAACCAACAGCAACTGAACAAAATGGAATGATGTTTCCAAAATGCTAAGGAAAAAAATGAAGGTGGACTTCAGTTTCAGCTCTAACAAGTAAACAGCTTTGAAGTTATCCTCACAATAAGCAAAAGCTGGTCAAACTGAAAATTTAGTGACTTTTCTTAGATCCATCAGAGAATTGAGATCACAACGCAAACCACCACTTCAAAATCTATAGAAACAGGCAAATACAGAGCAGCACAGCCAAGGTCAGCTTACTGGCAACAGACACTACTGGAGCCAGTAACTGGTAGGAACACTTTGGTAATTTTGATGACTTCTGTAGACCCGATGTGAATAGCCTGAGTTAAGAATTCCTGGGACCCAGTGTTGGCAGGGGGCTTGTCTCCCCACACTTCTTCGGGTTTACCTCCTGAAGCCCCACCAGGTTCTCATGGTGAAGCCCTGAGAAAGATCCCCTAATGTTTTTGCCTGCTAAGGGAAACTGCTATAAAGCTTTATATGACCTGGGGGAAAAGGGGAAATAGATAATTCCAGCTATGTCGTGTAAGAGAAGGGAGAAGAAAAAAAAAGGCTCAGAAACACTTCTGAAGGACACAGCCCAGGGACCAGGCCTACTAAAAATAGATTTAATCATAAAAGTATAAAACACTCCACATCCCCACACCTTACCACCGTATCAGCAGGGCTCCAGTATAATAACTGAATTACAATGGAGAGAGCTGCAGAACAGATATTTAAGAAGGAAAGACAACGGGGTGGGAGATAAAAACAAGGAAACTGGATCCTCTTAACACTTATACTAGCCAGATTAGCATAAAACCTTACACTAAACGTCTACTACAGTTCTGACATAATCTCTAGCTTTTTGCAAAAAAAGGTATGCTAAAGGAAAGAAGAAAACATAATCAGAAAAGACAAACAAGCATTAGAATAAGACATAGATATGGCATAACAGAGGTAATTTTCAGATAGGGAATTTGAAATACTGATGATTAATATGTTAAACAACATGATGTAAGAACACATGGGTATTGTAAGCAGAGAGGTGGAAATTTTAAGAAAGAAAAAAAAAAAAATACTGCATGCTGTTGATAGGCTCATCAGAAGATTAGATACACCAAGGAAAGAATCATTGAGCTTGAAGATGGTCACTAGAAACTTACAAAATTCAAGTGCAAAGAGAAAAAAATGAAAAACATGGAACAGAATTATGTAAGAACGGTGGGGACAATTACAACAAAAGAGGTAACATACACGTAATGGGAATATCAGAAGTAAAAGAAAGGAATGAAAGAAATATTTTAATAATGGCTAATAATGTTCCAAAATTAATGACAGAAACCGAAATATAAATTCAAGAAGCTCAGAAAGTACCAAGATAAAATACCAAAAAAATCTATACTTAGGCCTATTTTTACTCAAACTACAGAAAACCAAAAAGAAAAAGGAAATCTTTAACAGCTTACCTATGGAGGAACAAGGATTAAAAAAACATAACTCTCATCAGAAACCTTGCGGCAAGAGAGTGGAGTCAAATAGTTAGTGTTGAAAGGAAAAAATCACCAATTTATAATTCTGTATCCAGTGAAATTTACCTTCAAAAGTGAAAGCAAAATAAAGACCTTCTCAGACAAACAAAAACTTGAAAGAATTAGTCACTAGTAAACTTTCCTTTCATAAAATATTAAAAGAAGTATGATACAGGTCAGAAACATGGATCTACATAAAGAATGGAAGAGCTTTAGAAAAGGAATACATGAAGATAAAAATTTTACTTTTCTTCATAATTGTTATTAATCAACAACAATGTATTAGATAATTACAACATACGGGTAAGGTGACTGAGTGACAGCAATGTTTAAAGGGATGGTTGGGAAGGATTGTGAATACTCTGTTTTAAGGTACCTGCACTACCTATAGTATTACTTGAAAGGAGATGTAGATTGCAGTTGACCTGTAACAACACAGGTTTGAACTGCTCTGGACCATTTATACACAGATTTTTTTTTCAATAAGTAGAGTCAGCCTTTTGTATCCATGGGTTTTGCATCCTCAGATTCAACCAGATGCAGACCAAAAGCAGTATTTTCACATTCCCAACTGCAGTTTGTTGAATCCACAGATAGGAAGAGCCACTTGTAGAGTCAGAAATTATTCGTGGATTTTCAACCGCACAGGGGTCCGCACCCCTAACCTCCACATTGTTTAAAGGTCAACTGTAGTTGTCAATGTACATGCAAACTCTAGAGCAACCACTAAAAACGATTTTTTAAATTTTATTTTCATTTTCCCATCACCATTTATCCCCTCTATGAAAAACAGTTTTAAAAAGAATTATGGATATACTGAAAGGAGAGAAAACAATCATATGAAATGCTCAGTGGAAACTAGAAATGGCAGAAAAAGAAGGGAAGATTAAAAAGGAAACTAAGAACAAGTGCAATGAGCAGAGAATAGTTACAGGCATGGCAGATACTGATCTAAATATGTCAAACAGTTGCTTTTAAATTTGAATGGTCTAAATATACCAATCGCCTGTTTTTAAAAAATATTTTTTTGTTAATGAAGGCCAAAACAAAGTTTGCCACCACAGATCCTTACTAAAGTAATATTACAAGATATAGTTAGGCTAAGGGGAAGTAAATCCCATCTTTGAGAAGGTAAAAAGAACAAAGAAAGTGGTAAATATGTAGATACAGTTAAACTAACCTTTACTTTATAAAATAACAGTAATGTCTTCAGGGTTTAAAAACATGGAACTAAAGTACATAATAATTACATGGAAGCAAAAGTGAGAATTTGGTAAATTGAGAATGAGTGTTTAAATGTTAAGGATGACAACTAGAAATAGAATGCACCAAACCCCTGGGGGAAGAGAGGATAACATGGTAAAAACAATCCAAAAGAATGAAAGAAATTGGGGGG